AACTGCAGTACTGACATGAAGGCTGCTAGGGATGTGGCAGACTTCTTCCTTTGAGCTTCTGCTCCCTTACAATAAAAGGAGACAGTGGAGGTGTGGGCAGTGGGAAGAGAGCAACTTGGGATATAGCAGAAACAAGTGGAAGACTTAGTGTGCTGCTGCATGACCCAGCAGAAGCGTAGAACGGGTGGGCGGGTGAATAGATGACAGTGGGATGGGATTTGGTGTGTGCTTACGGAGGAAAAAGTTGCTTAATCAGCACTTTCAAAGTTGGCTTGTTGGCCGGTTGTTTTCGATCACGCTGCTCCAGAGTCCCTTTTGTTATTGTTGTTTTTAAAACCGTGCCCTTTGAGACAGGCACTGTCCTGTGTTTTATTCAGTTTTACTCAATATGTTCTGCTTCTATAAAACACTGTATATGAGTGCAGATCAGAGAAGTACTAAAGCTTTAAAAATAAATCTAATCAGCTTATGTAACTTTCTGCTCCTGGGAAATGCTGGAGCCTCCACTCTGTGAGATCTTGCTTCTATGTTTCACTACCTCTCTGCGTGCCTCTTGCTGCCTCTGTCTTGGTCCGCTGATCCGGCCCTGAGTTCCACAGAGGCTACAGCATGTCGTAAGATTGGGCATCAAAACAAGATAAAAGGGCCTTTCTGCTTCAGTGTCCTTCTGCTGGCTTCTAGTGACACAGGAACCACCAGCGAACCTCGGATGTCTTCACTAACTGAAACGCTAATGTACAGCAGGGTTTTTCCCAGAATTTCCTTTTATTTTTCTCTATTTCTAGACACTAAAATGTTTTTTTTCTGTGATCATTAATTTTTATTTGCTACATTTTATTTTCTGTTAACTCCAGGTTTGTGTGCTTTCATCATTTCAATTCTTTTTGACTTAGAAGAGTTGTTTGGGGAGGTGTCTGGGGATTGTCTGTCCATTGCTCACAGCTTTCTGCCAGCAGGGAAAAAAGAATGAATCATAGACTACGGTATGATGCCAGCAGAAGATTCCTGAGAGACACAATTGAGCATACAGTGCACATAAAAAAAAAAAGCCGACCAGGAATCCCTCTCTTCTTTTCTGTCTTCTCTCTTGGCTCTCATTTTGTCGCCTGTCCCTCTGTTTCTTCTTGAAGTGGAACGAAAAACGCCTCCACCCCCCACCCCCACCCATGAGCGAGTGAGCCAGGTTTATTCAGCATGGTCCCGCTCCTAATCTTGGCTCTCGATACCTCAAGGGCCTTGAAAAGTCATCCCATTTAAAACTGAAACATGGCTAGTAAAGTAAAAAAAAAAAAAAAGCAGGAGGAGATGTAGCACTTCGAGAGTGGCTCGGTCGGGATTTCTCCCACGTCCCTTGAAGCTTTAATTAAAAGACCATGATGATGTAGGAGAGAGATGAGAGAGCAGATATGAGGGTCAAGCTCACTAATCGCTCCTCCAGAGAGGAGAGATAGAGGCTAATGAATAGAGGAGATAGAAAGACAAAGACAGGGAAACAGGAGAGGAGGAGAGCTACAGGGGATAGGCAGGCGCAACAAGAAAAGAGTGCGACAGAGATATATTTAGGAGAAAGTAAAAGAAAACCTTGCATAGTGACTACTGTTTCTCCTGCCATTGTCCTAGGGTGGTGGTATGGTTTGGAAGAGCCCCTCCCACTGCTGTTATCAAACCAGTAGAAAGAGAAAGACTAAACAACATTTAATGAGGCGGCTGTGGGCGAGGGATCATCTTACCTTCTCAAAGACAGGCTTGTTATTATTCACGTCGTCCACTCCAACTATGACCTGAGCCGTGGATGACAAGGCCTGAGGTCCGCCTGAGGCATTGTCATCCGTGGCTGTAACATTGAGGACATATTCAACACCCTGGAGGCGAGGTGGTGGGCTGGAGCGCAGCCGGATCAAGCCTGCAACCAAACATAACGATGACAGTGGTTAACACACACACACACAGTCACACTCATAACACTCAGCTGGTTCAATTTTGAGTTTGAAAAAGTATATTGTCATTATAGCACCCAAACTGGTAACATGTTTGTTTTTTAAATTTATTTTCTCATTTTCTAAAATGTCATAAAATCTATTTGCATAATAGATTAATTATACAAAAAACCGCTGCCACATATCAGGGAAGGTAATTAACTTATTATTACACAACATGGCATGTTTGACAGCACGACAGGATTTAATGGACAGTACTTAATGCTTTTTTACCGATCACCTTTCCTCATTTCCTTTCCTTCTTTGCTTTCCTTTTCTTTCTTTGGCCTCACCGTTATGCACTACAAAAACCAGGGCTTATAAAAACTACAACAACTTCTTCTGCTTCGTGCAATAGAAAAAAGATGAGCTTCTCTCCAGTGTGGGTGAGACGTAATTGTGCTCTGTCTCCATTACTTCGCAGAACTAAACATTAAGACCACTTACAGTGCAAATAATTATATTGTAACAAAGACACACATCAAGGTCTCTGATGTGTTAGTTGTTAAGCGAGCCATTGTTTGCTGGCACGAGTGGCCAAATCACTGTGGCAACTTTTTACTGGCAGTGAGAGCTATCAGATAGCAGTGATGGAATTTGTTTCAGGCTACAAATGAGCCTAAATGAGTGTAAACACATCATCTTATTAGCAACAACTATAAGTTAGCTTTCTTTTAGATTTTAATGTAAACTTAACAGAACAGATTTTACCAGGCTGACCCAAATTTTGGGTTAACATTTCTAATGCAATATATATGTCACGCAGGCTTAAAATGATAATCAAGGCTGAACTGACAGAGAAACATTTTTGGAGACCAAACAAAGGCACAAAGTTTTTATGTTCCTTGTTTTGGGTGATACAGTGAAGCAGTTTAACACTTCAGCATACACAGATAAAGTGTGCCAGCTTGATTGGAGGTAAACTCAAAAACTTTCTTTTCGTTTTTTACAGCAGTACATTTGAAAGTAACATTGAGAAGCTTTAGGTGACACTTTACAGACAAATTCTCTGTCTTTGTTGTTTTCTCCCCCTACACAACCTGGAGTTGAGCAACCAAACGTGGCACATAGGTAGGTCTTAGGCCCCTGAAGGTTTTTATCTGTATCAGATATTACAATGTCATCATGTTACCTAGCAACCATCTAGCAACAGGCTATAATGACGTGCTTTTAGCGCTCACGAGGCCTTATAAAAGCATCATTTTCATTCCATGACAGTAACATCTAATTTTTATCCACAAAACAATACATTATGATGTCTTTGGGCCGCCTGGCAGCTACTTTGCAATATAAGTAACTAAGCAAAACGTATTTATGTAGTGCTTTTTCATACCAATCACAAAGAGCTTTACAGAGGTGTCAGTTAAAAAGCCAGTGGGTTAAAATGACTCAGTTTTCAGCCATTATGCACCTACAACACCAACAAAAGCATCATCTGTTTTACATTTCACAATAATAACATCTCATTAATATCCACAACAGTTGATTATGATTATGCCATCATATTTTCTAACCTTGCAATGGTTAGAAAATACGATGGCCTAAAACATCTTACACTAAAACATCTTATAAATGTGTTGTATAATTTTCATTTCACAGCCAACTGTGCAAAAAAAACAACAACAACACCGTGGCATGGACATGTGCATGACTAAGAAATGTGTCAACCTAAGTTACCACTTGGCATTAATAGTGTAGCTTGAGAATTACATTTTTATACCCAACACGAACTGCGAATGTTAACGTAAGCTTACAACGTAAATCGTTTCTAACATGTGCAATGCAACCAGCTGACATCACCCAAGAAAGCTGCACATGGCAACCAGCACACACCACCGCTTAAAACCAAGTAGTCAATATCTGTTGTCCGATATAAGAAAGGTCAACCGTGGACGATGACAGAACAAAATAACTCTGTCCTGCCTCTCGCTCGCACAAATGACACTTCATCTCAACAGCAGTATTTTTTAACCAGACACAGAGTGTTCCCTGAGGTTTTAACAGACTTTCAATAGACTCACCAAAATAACATTTGCTGCCTGATATTATAGTCTTTAAACAAATGAGCACTTTATTTAGAAAAATGCTAAACTACATTAGATGGCTGGGAGTTTGAACAATATTGCAGGAAAGTGATATGAATGAGAAATCAAATCATACTGGGCACTGAAGTAAAACAACCGAGAACATCATTTAAAAATCTTTGCAAAAATAAAAAATAAAAACAGTAACACAACAGCAGCCAAATCGTGAGGGGAAAGACGTCACTAGTGAACAAAGACGGTCTAATTTCACTTTTGAGCTCAGGGATGTTTCATTAATTATGCTTACACAACATATGAATAGTCGGATTGATTGGTATTCCCTTCTAGCACCTTCGTTCCATTTCATCCTCTGTCTTTCCTTCTCTTACTGACCCTCTCTTTCAGTCCGGCGTAGGCGTCTCATCTGCATCCCACTCTCTGCTCTGAATGACTCTCTTCCACTCTGTATTCATCTCACCCTTTGGTGCTCTGTTTACTTTGTGTGTGTGTTTATGTGCGAGTGTGTGGGCTCAAAATGTGGACACACTTATTACAGCCTTCTTATCTTCAGAGGCAGGGGCAGGTGCTATCGCAGGCATGTGTTTATTTGATTGCGATTTCCCAAGAGAGACTGCAATTGGAGTCATATATATACACACTTATAATAGACACACATGTACATGTATGTGCACCGTGCAACCTTGTGTGTTTACCAGACCAACAGGACAGATGAACTGGAGATGTGCGATTTTCATTTTAGTATATTTTATTTTGTGTGTGAGTGTGTGTTCGAAGTACGCAGACATGAAGAATTGAACTAAGTGATTTCTAGAACACTCTCTGGAAATGAATGGCACCAGAAACAAATCATGAACAAGAGGAGAAAATGTTCTTTTCTATCAGAGTTAATGCCATACAAGCTGATTTTTGCACACGTACAGTATGTCGCTTCTGTTTGTCTTTGTGTGCGTGCTGTTTCACAAAAGATTTCCACGGAGGAGGTCTCTGTCACAATAGCTGGTTCCCTGGCATGGATGCTCACGTTTAAGGCTACATGTAGGTGCATGTGTCTGCAAGAGCCTGTGTGTGTGTGTACAGAAAAGAGAGAACAATAGTCAGGAAAGAAAATGTAGGGAAAAATAAAATGAAATGAAAAACGATTGCTCAGAGATAAAGAAAAACAAAGCTTTGACTCTAATTATGTGTGTAATAAACACCTTACACCGCAAAATGGGTTCCTGTCAGTGCAGAAAGAGACTGCATTGTTGTAAAATATCTTTTCAAAAGCACTGAAAAAAAACCCATCAGAAGATAAACTAACCTAGTGTCAGACCAGCAACATTTAGCTTCCTTTGTTTTTACCAAATATGATGCAAATACCAAAAAGTATTGCATTTAATATGTAATTTTGACAAGATTTTTTAAAAACAAAACCCTTTAGATTTTTTTTTACCTGTAACAGAAATATATTTAATTCAATTTTAATATATCATATAATATATGATTATATTTTAATAATCAAGGCGCTTTATATTGTAAGGTAGATCCTATAATAACACAGAGAAAACAGAGAAAAAACAACAGCAATCCTACTTGTATAAACACACAGTGAGTGAAAACAAAATCACTCACACTGCATCATGGGAAGCCATCAGCAGCCTGGACCTATTGCATCATAACTAGGGGAGGATTCAGGGTCACCTGATCCAGCCCTAATTACATGTTTTATCTAAAAGGAAAGTTTTACGCTTTAAGCAAAGTAAAAAAAAATGGCTCATATAAAAAGAGAAGAGGGGGAACAGAGGTACACGCAGAAATGTCACAATCAAACTAATAATGCTGGAATTATGTTGAAATGCCAGTGAGTGCAGGCTCAGAACCCAAATGCAGACTTAATAAAGAAAAAGAAAACCTTTTATTCTGTCGATGTGAAGTCCAGAGCAAGCACAAAGCCCAGAGGGGAGTGAAAAACTCAAGCTGATAAACAGGCAGGAAACCAACTCCAAAGAAAGCACATGTGAGAAGGCATATTAACGCTCACATGCTAATGGCTAATGATGATTACACAGAGCTGAAGTGAGGCACAGGTGCACACAATCAACACAATCACAGTAGAGGAAGAAAAGCTAAATGTAAGACACAGGGGACAAATAGCTACCAAAGTAAAACAGGAAGTGACTAACAATTACAGAAACAGGAAAACATGAACACATGAAGGAAATTAGAGGGAGAAGACAAAAAAAGGAACAGAACAACACACTGAAGGAACTAAGTAAAGAAGTGAAGTCTGCATATATAATGGAATGAATGACACTCAGGACACAATGACACCAAAACAATGAAACAGTGAAAGACAAGCTGACTAAATACTAAAACAAGAAAAGTACAAGGACCCGACTGCAAACTTAACACCCTGAAGTAAACACACAACTAACAGGAAGCAAAACAACAACAGACCAAATTGAAACTATAATTCAATAACCATGTAAAACAAACTGACCACAAAACAAAATCCCACAGACGAATCCCACGAGAACTGTGACTATTTTTCTAAAAACTTCCCACATGCATCAGATTTTCATTTTAAGAACAGTGCAGTCAATGTGTTTACTCAAGAAATGTATATAATTATGTTAACTTGTTAAAGATTAATTAAACTGGTGTCAGAAAACTAACTCCAAATCAATCCATTAATTAATGAGAATACACAACAGTAATACATACTTCATTGTACACACATTTGCACTTGGCTGGTAATTAAAGGGTACTTCAATGAGTCTTCACCTCTCCAGCTCTTCCCTGAGCTGTTATTTCGTTTGAATTAATTCACGAACTGATAAGGGCATCTTTTACAACCAGCCATTATATTGTCACGGGGCTGCACGGCAACAAACTGAACAGTC